CAGCTGACACACCACTGTCGCAATCAAAGAGCACTATGAGAGCGTTTTGCGCTTTCACGTTGTCACGCACCTATGCAAAGAAGCAAATCCGACAAATAGTTCAACAAGACCTACCGTTCCGTTCAAAAGCCTGCAGCACTCTTTCGTTCACCAATTCTTCGATTTGCGATCTCTGGTCATCAGAAAGTGGTTGCTCGATGGTAAAACGTTGATAACAAAAGTTGAGGGTGGCAAGCAAAAAGACGGTTACAAGCTGGGTTGTGACCACCATGTATACGACTTGTTCCGTCTAAATATAGCACAATTACTTTATACAAAACCAACAAAATGAGTAAGTTATACCGTCCACAGTCCGTCGTCAGGCGGTGAATAGCGATGAAGCTGGTTTTGTGGAATGCACTTCTCATTTGTTCTGTCCTGACTCCGCAAACGGCTAAGAGTCACTTTTGAGGCGGTGATCCGCATAGAAGAGAGCCAACGAGACAGCGTATTAACTTCCTCTCGCAAAACTGCTATCTTAAAATGGACCGCAACTTGGACCAGGGTATAAAATACTTTCTAAAATGTTAAATCAAAACTGTACAATATGCAAACTGACCTTATAAGCAAGAGTTTCGTTAACGCGTGCATATATGGCCTCCACAGCTTCCTCGACAACTTTTTTTGCTTGTTTCAGATGCTTCTGGTGCTCATCAGTTTGCGCTACATACTGCCGACTCAGTTCACTGAGATATTCGCTAGACAGCGACATATTGAGTTCGAGAGCAGCAATCCTTTTGTTTAGTTTCATGAAAACTGACTCCTAAAGGGTTTGAAAAAGATTTATACAAATGCAAGACCAATGGAATAAAAGATAGATACCTAAGATGAGAAAAAGAAAAAATATACCTTGTGACTCATTGAAGAAGCAGGAAGGACGTCCGACGGAAGTGGCTGAGAAGGGCGGGGATTCTGCGAAGGCGTCTGAGATAGCTGTTGTTTCAGATGTTGCTGTGATTGATTATGTGGATCCTCGGACGTAGACACCTCAATTAGGAAATCAAACTGAATACGAAATTGTTTTGAGAAAGTACTTTGGTGCTCGAAGTATCCTGAGGCTTCTCGGCTTCTGACGTAGCGATTTGCTGCTGTGCGGCCATGGATGGGTCAGGATGAAGGTAGCTCGTTGATTTGCGTTGCAAAAAGGCAAACCGGGACCGTCGCAGACGACTCAGAGACGACATTCCACTTCGGGCCAGAAATGCAGGAGGTCGAGTATTATTCCTGAAAAATGTATATTGGGGTATTCATATTATTCTAAACAGGTTACCTCTTGGCTAGAGTAGATGCGTTTGACCTCCAAACAAAGGTTTTACAGAACTGACGAGGATATATGTACGACCGATCCTTGGGACAAAAAAAGCAAGCGCTGAATGGACTTGATATGGAACATTCTCTAAAAAATAATTTTGAATAGTTAGCGTAGAAACTGAGCATGGAACATTCCACCAATCAGTGCATAGACAACCAACTTCATAGCTCTTGAGCTGTTGTCTTTTCCTCGTCCAAGTTTATCCTTAACAACATCCACAAATTTACTAATCAAATGACCGCTAACTTCCTGCAAAAGTCCTCATGAGGATGATTAGCGAAAATAACAAGCAAATCTCACGTCAACTAAGTCTATGACGGTGGGATTTGTATCCGAAGCTTCTTGTTTGGACTCTGCAAGTTTGACTACGACCGAACCATCAGAAGCTTTCACACCAGAATCAGTCTACAATGTTAACTTAGTAGTACAAGCTGCGAAAAACAGAACTTAAAAGATGAGACATCATTCTAAAGTCCTACCCTGCCCTACATGAGACTTCTCGAAAATCTTATTAATCCAAAAAAGCAAATTTTTGGCTGGGACAAAGATTTATTGAGATAACCTACAAAAGATTTTCATGAGATGCTAATGCTTATTGTGAAATTAATATCACAATAACTAGTATCACAGTGCACATGCCCCTGTCGAACTACGATGTCCTTTGCCAAAATGAAGTTGTGCGCACACTACGATGAGTACCTGAGAATGGGTGTGTGGTAAAGTGGTAGTCTCCAAAATTTCGCTTGTTACGTTGTTCTCTTGACCATCGGAAGAAGCCTTCAAACCGTTAGGAACATGCGCTACAGAAGCTGCTTCGGCCTTAATTGCAATAACGTGAACGAATATGAATTTGTGACAAAAGGTCACCTCTGCCTCATATTCATCCACCATTGATATACCAAGAACCTTTAAAACTGACAGCGTACAATAGTGTTCGCTACCATAATGAGACAGCAGCTCAACCTGAAGTTACGAAATGATTGTACTCCTAAATAAATGAGAAGCCCTGGAAAGTTGCGTTTGTAGAACAAAATTCCAAAAATTCCACAAAAGAAGCAAAAGCTTACCTTAATGAATTTGGCGTAAGCACCGGTAAAAGGCACAGGAAACTGCTGGATTTGCCGGGAGTCCGCCGCGGTAAGATCGCTGAGTAGTCTCCACTCGCCATTAGGGAACCTTTCCGCTGACCATAGTCTTATATCTCTAGGGCCAGATGAGAACAACTCGTAGTTTGCGATTTCAATGCTCCGCGGCTTAATAGATAAACTCGATCAACGTACGCATCAAAAAGAAAAGACAAGGGAAAAGTATGTAATGAAAAACCTGAATAGTCTCGCAAAGTTCCACGATAACAAACTTGTTGTCAGCTTTTTCACACGGGTTGCGCATATACTCATCTTTTTCCTGGAATATACAAGCGATCAATACAAGGCGTATCGTGCACCTGCAAAATTGGCGATCTTGCGTTTTCACTTTCCTTTCGGCTCAACTTTTCCATATATCAGCACTTTTGCCAAATCACTGTATGTCGCCACGTCTGCCTTGGGCAGACAAGCGATTTCTCATGCAACCATCAAAGATGCTAATATAATAGAACATGTCCGCTACTATTGGTATTCCAGATGTCAGCGCAGAAAACTCGCATGATGCGGGAACATCTAGCAGGTTACTGACTGTTTCCCATGACAACTAGTCTACATAGCATGTCAGAGCAGGAATATATTCAGAGCTCGCCTTTAGGCCAAGTAACTCCCCCGTCTATATATAGCAGTTTATTAACACTGAATTCAAGCACCCTAATTCGTTTTGAAAAGATGTCTGAACAAGAAAACAAAAAAAACTGGAAAAAAGGTATAACAATGAACGGAACAAACTTTTTCGTTCAATATGGCTTTCGTGTTTTCTGCTTCCGCATTGCTGAGTAGAACTTTTGCCCCACACTCTCTGCTCGCGTAGTTCCTTGTTGTAGCAGTAGGAGGTGCTATCGGTTGTGTTTGTGTGCTAGGCAAGCCAGTATCCAAAGCTGCAGCAGGAGGCTTAAATGTCTCGATGACTTCCGAAAAAGGAGAAAAACAAGCAGTCGATACAGATACTAACAACGGCTTTCCTGAGTTCCTGTTTCAATTTTTCCTTGGTCCATTCGTCAAAGGTAGCTATTGGTTGGTGTGATTCTTCACCTTCTGTATGTTTTGCGGATGAATCAGCATCAGGAGAATCTGTTTTGAGCACAGATGTGGCCTTCCTGAGATAAGGTTAGCTACAATGCAGCAATACGTAGGTAAAAAAAGTGTAACCTAAGCGAGTCCGGCGCGGTTAGATTGTTAGTGCAATTTCCGGAGCTTGCTTTAGGATGAGCTGAGTTCGACTGTGTTGCAGTCAATGACATATTAAGGGATGAATTGTGGGGAGTATCCTTTAGAGGTAATTTGATGGGGCACGAAGTGTTCGACAGTCTGAAACAGGCACGCTTGATAGCTGTGCCTTCATACACTGTTAAAGCATGTGAAACAATCTCAATCTCTCAGCAACAAAGCGAACTCCAAAGAATGACTTTTCAAGCACTGAGCTTCTGTGGTAACCCACAAAAAATCTTTGAGTTGTGCTTTATTCGCGCAACAATTTTGCAATAAGGTTTTGAGCTTCTGTGGAGAATAAATGCTCTAGATTGCGATACACTCCCTAAAAGCAAGGATGAGAGCTTACTTGTGAGCGTCGAGAAATGCGCGGACCAAATTTTTGAAACCATCAGCCAAGCAAACATCATCACAGCAGTTACACGACCATAGAACAGCTCTAAAGATTGACAACCTTTGTAAGTAGTTCATCATACTGATGCTGATCTAACATGTATAGGAAGGTAGTCGTTGTGCGCCATCTCTCAATCATGCCGTGGGAATATGGATATGATCATAAATCTAAATAAACTATTGTGGCCAATTACGGAAACCAAAGTCAAGGGGAAAAGAGAGTGAGCAAATCAATACAAGCGGCTATCCAGAACAGACATTTGAAAAAGCAGGACCAAGAAGGAAGCTAGGTCAAAGCGCAGCATAGGACAGAGTATCTTGAAGTGAGAAGAATCACTGTGAGCGAAACTTTAGATTGGATAGGATCAAGATCAATTGATTGCAGTCGAGAGAAGGTATGCAGTATAAAAGTTTATCGGATTCATATGAAGACTCAAAGACAAATCCAGCTAGCTTTGAGTCCAAACTCACCAACGTTCTAAGGCAGAGAGTACAGTTTGCGTCAACATTCACACACGTTCAAAAGCATGTATAGATCTTAATTATTTGCGAACATAAAATGCTGCGGATGCGTACATGGTCAAACACAAGTTTGTTGCATCCCACTTCAAATTTGCTGCACAGCTTGAGAGAAGATCACTGAGGAGTACGAG